TGTGAGTTTATCCGTTAATTGATGCATCTGCCTTTCAAATTCTTAATTTTTTGATTGCAGATTCTGCGCCAACTCAAATGCCGCGTCTGCTGTTTTTTATATTTTGCTAATGTTTGACTTCACCTCCATTAGAGTTTTTTCTAGGCATGCAATTACCCTCTTCATAACACTTTGTAAGTCTTTCCTTAATTGTTTCATTAGCTGCCTCATCTCATCCTTATCTTTATTAGTTTTTTCTTGCCCCCGCCCCTTCGCCTTACCAGTTGCCTTACTCTTGCTCTCAGAACCTGATGAGCTGGATAGCATCTCATCTTCATCCGAGGAGACTTGTGGCTTCAACAGGGACTCCCTTTGATGTCTTCTTTTTTGGCTTTTCCATATCTAGACAGCTTGTAATGTTTTAACTCTCACGCTTAATTGTTTATTTTCTCAGGGCTCTGAGCGGAGCTGATCTTCTATGCAGCCATCTTCATTTGCTTGCCTAGACCACGCCCCCTGAGGTCCACATAGTCAAAGCTATGGTTTTTCCTGTAGTGATGTATGGAATTGAGAGCTGGACCATAAAGAAGGCTGACTGCCTAAGAATTGATGCTTCTGAATTGTGGTGCTGGAGGAGACTCTTGAGAGTCCCCTGGACTGCAAGGAGAACTATCCATGCTGAAGGAAATCAACCCTGAGTGCTCACTGGAAGGGCAGATCCTGAAGCTGAGGCTCCAATACTTTGGCCATCTCATGAGAAGACTCCCTGGAAAAGACCCTGATGTTGGGAAAGTGTGAAGGCAAGAGGAGAAGGAGATGACAGAGGATGAAATGGTTGGACAGTGTTACTGAAGCTACCAACATGAATTTGACCCAACTCCTGGAGACACTGGAAGGCAGGAGGGCCTGGCGTGCTCTGGTCCATGGGGTCACAAAGAGTCGGACACGAGTTAGCGACTAAGCAACAACAACAACAAAAAAATAAAGTATTCTTTGACTGTTTATCAATCTCTAGCTGCAGTCTTGTACCCGCCACCTGCACTTCATATTTGTCTAGACTCTAGAGGGTCATAGTCCTTTGGGCTAAAATAGGAATTGAGCTGCTTTTTCTTTTTCTCCTATTATCATTTTTCTGTCTTCACTGTCCACAAAAGCTCACATTAAAATATAACAATCTTTAAGGAGCCACAATTTTTGTCTCTTATTTTAATTTATTTTTTATATCACCCCCTCTCTTGGGTTTTGCCTGATATGCTGGCACAGACTAACACAGCTACCTCTTCCCAATCTAGAATGAAAGTGTACTGTATTTTTCTGTGTATAAGACACTACCTTTTCCTAAAATGGTTACACTAAACTTGAGGGTCGTCTTATACACGGAAGTAAGCTGAGGAGAAAACCATGTGGTTGTGAAATTGCCCATGTCTCTACGAACAGGCTTCCTCCAATCACAAGGCTTATGTAACTGATGTCAGCTGATGCAAAGGAGAGCATGTAGGCAGTGCATGGATGCGAAAGTTGTCATGAATTTGATTATGAAAATTGTCAAAGTAGAATAGAGATGGATTTTGTTTCATAACAGCAACGAAACAACTAGAAGCTGACTGATGTCCAGGTGTTAATTAGGAAGAAAAAATTGTACAAGGTCAGTTCTTTTTCCAGCAGAAGGAGAAAAAAAAAACAAGAAGAAGATGACCCTTATCTTATCAAAACTCCAATGGACAAGGACACAACGGCTTAATTTAAGAAAGACGGGCGAAGAGAGAGAAAAAGGACGGAGAAGAGAGATGGGGGAGAGTTTGCTTGCACGACAGCCAGAGACGACACACGGAGAGAGATGCATCCGGCAGAACTTTAATTTGAAGACTGCGTAAGAATGTTAATTTAAGATATAGTTGGACTGTCTATTATTTTCGTTTTATAGAGGAAATATCTGGTGGTGAAGGCTGGGGTATTGGAAATAATTAATGACGTTATTATGCTTAGTATATTTGTTTGAATGCTATCTTGTTTTAATAAAAGATAAAAAGACAATCTGTCTGTAAGTTGGCTCCTTGTTTAGACTACAGCTACTATGGTAAACTTGGTTACTTTAAAAATATATTATTTGCTCTGGCCGTGTTTACGCTACCAAATTAGGGTCCTAAAGTAATAAAAAAGGAAGAGCAGATCTTCCAGATTGTTTCTTTAAAATCGAGACAGACTTGGGTGAAGGAGTGAGAAGTCGCCTAGGGCAAAATTACAGGACCCGATTTTGCTGGCAATAGGGACGGATCATTCAGGATCCCTCTCTGTCTTGTGTAAAGGCAGTTCTAAGGAACGCTTTTACCACAAAAGTGACTGGTAATGTTGGAGCATTCTGAGCTCATAAAGATGCCAGAAAATAAAAAATAAATAAGTGAATGTCTTAATCTGCAAAATTCAAACTGAATGTAATCATTTATGCAAATGAGGCTGAATGATTTACTCAGCTAAGTGTGATGCATAATATCATAGTACTGGTATGCAAATGCTGCCTAAATAGTAAATGAAAATGTGTTCCTTTCTAATGTTTAAAATATTGATTCCTGAATTTTTGGTTAGAAAATTGGGGGTCATCTTATACATGGAAAAATATGGCATTTTCGAGGCGGGGCTTCATCGCGGTGCTGCCAGCAGCTCCAGGGAACAGCTCCTGGGAAAAGCTGGAACTGCCTGGACTGGGGTCTCTCTAGAAATGAGGGATCGAAGGGGAGACTAGGAGAGGTCTCTCTGAAGCAGTTGGTGAGCAACAGAAGGAGGAAGATTTGGCAGCAACCTGGTATTTCTTCCCTCTGAAAATTTGATACTTTATATTGATTGCCTTATTATTTCGTTGATACAGTGATTTACCATTTCTTCTGTTATTCTAAATAAACACAAGTTTTTATTTTAAAAGTCATTTATTTGCCTGAAGAGTCTCGGATGAAGGAATGGTTGGTGGCAGCGTGAACAAAGTGTGTGTATGTAAGAGTGACGTGACACCTCCTTTGTGATGAGTGACGAGGCTGTCACACTTACCAGCCTGCTTCTTCAAAAACGAAACTGACTCTTAAACAGCAGGCTGGTTCAAGGCCAAAAGAGAGACAGTGAGACAGAAAAAAAATTGTTTCTGGAAAAAATCCCAGAGTGAAATACCACTGGACAGGCTTTAAGAGACTGAAATTTTGTGAATGCTATTTAGCCTGGACCTTTCTCCCTAGACTGTGTGGGACTCTGATAATAGAATCTTATTAGGTTTTTGGAGAAGAAGGAATAAGCTTTTAGAAGCAAGAAAACAGACTGAGAATCATCATCGAGATGACATGGGCGATTGGACTGAGGAGTTAGGAAAACTAGGACTGGAGTTTTTTTATTGAATCTTTGGATTAATGGAAAGAACATTAGATGGATTATAAGGATATCTATTGGAGAGACTGACCCCCTGTGACTCCTGTTTAGTCTGGATTTTCTTTGGCTGGACTGTGTGGGATTCTGATAAAAGAATTTTGTTAGGTTTCTGGAGAAAAAGGGATATTTTTGCCATGGTTGTATTTTAAATTGTTGGGCTAAAAGTTAATTTATATATTACAATATTTCTGTAAGGATGGGAGGAAGAACCTAGGGGGGATTTATGATTGTAGGTTTGGTTTGTTGATAAAATAATGGAAACTTCAGAAAGATATTTGTGGGTTGGCCACTTTGGTGAAGGATATACAGTGGTGCCTCACAAGATGATTGCCTCGCGGGATAAAAACCCGCAAGACGATTGGTTTTTGTGATCGCTATGGTGCCTCGCAAGACAGTTTCTTTTATGACCATGCTTCGCAAGACTTCCCCCCCCGAGACCGATGCCTCGCAAGACGAATAAATTTCATTCATCTTGCGAGGTTCCCATAGGGAACCTCACAAGATGATTTTTTTTTGCAAGACAGCGATTCTCGCAGAACAAATTACAATCGGCTTGCGAGGCACCACTGTAGTATTATTTATACAGACCCTACTCATTGGAAAGATTGAAATGACCTCCAATAAATTAAAATATCAAATGTTGGGGATGTTGTCTGCCCAATCTCAAAATTTGGGAATAGTGGCACAAAAATCAGACAAAGAATGGCTGGCTATCATGCAAAAGATAATAACAGCAGGATTTTAGCAAGTAAATGAACGTCTTAGCCAGATTGAAGATCAGATGAAAGAGAGGTTATGAGATGTTAAACAATAAATGAAGCTGTACTAACTCCAGAACTGCTTTTATTGAGTGTGATACCAGGTAACATAGATGGGATAAAGAGTTACCCAGTGAGCTATTTAGCTACTACAGTCAGAAAATGTTATGTTAAAATTGGACTGCTGTCCTGGATTCATCCTTCTCTTCCAAAAATTGGAAGAAAGCAGAGTTACAGAAACAAGAGGAGCTTATTGAGAAAATGTGAGAAGTGACAGAAATGGATACTCTTTCAGACGTGCTGAATGACTGTCCAATTCAAAAGGAAATTGAACGATGGGATTTATTATACAAATGGCTTCGGTTCCCTGATAGTGTTGGATTAACTTAGATTTAAACTAAAACATAACTGTAAATTGATAGCTGGAGGGTAATCAAATAGTAAAAAAGCAGAAAGCTGATTTGTTATTGAAATAGGAATAGATTGGATGATTGCATACTTTGTGTTCTCCTATCCCCCTAACCCTTTCCCTTTCCCCCACTTCCTTTTACCTTTTGTATTTCCTACCCTATTCTTAGTTGTTAAAAAATATTAAAAAGAAAAAAACTATGGTATTTTCTCCAGTAAGGAAGAGAAATAGCTTTGGATCATTTGTATAGAATTTGCTTCCTGACTTTTAAAATATTACAAACTTCATAGAATGTGGGATATTTATCCTGAGATTTCATTTCTCCCCCATTTGCTTTTCCTTTGCTTGTGGCATTCCTGTTCTTCCTCTGCTCACTCATGTGCTACTGCTGATATGAGTGAAAAAAAAAATGAAATGTAAATATAAATGTAAATAAGAAACTTTACCTTTAGATTGGAAGATGCCATAACTGATTTGTTTTCCATCACCAAGTTATGTTTGGTGGCTTCGTACTCTGTTGCTTTTATACAGTTCTGCAAATCCGGTTTTTCCCCCTAAACAAGATACATGGGTAGATTTTTTAAAAGCATATAATGTCAGCTACAGTGCTTATAAAGCCCAGTCTCTAATCCTCTGCCTGGCTACACCAAACATGAAGTACAAATCTCAAGGAAAAGTAACTATTCTCATCTATTCTATTAGCTGAAGTCCTCCAGTGGCGTTCTCAAAGAATTGAAAAATACCAAGTGAGTAATATCCAAAGGTGTGAAAAAAGAGAGGTTACCTACTGTAACTCTAGTTCTTCGAGTGGACATCTGTGAATTCACACAATAATCTTGTCCTGCACCTGTGCAAGAGTTCTTGGAATCTTATAGAGCTTTAGCACAAGTTTGCTGGAACCACTCCTTAATGTACATACTCCACCTGTACTAGTATCTTAGTTCCTGTTGGGTAGTCTGCCACTGTCAAACAAACATAAGACATATGTGACAGAGAGAGGGGAGGATGGGCGGAATGTGTGAATTCACAGATGACCACTCAAAGAACCAGTGTTACAGACAGGTAACTTCTCTTTCTTCTTCATGTTCTCTGTGAATAGGGTCACTAGAAAACTGACTTATTGGAAGGTGGGCTGTGGCAGAAATATTGGTGCCAGAACCACTTGACCAAATGTAGCATCCACCTTGGCGGATAATGAGGGGCAAATGTAGAGGGTCATGCCAATGTGGCAGCCTTACACACATCTGGGAAGCTCACTCTAAGAAAGGTGGTGAATGTCACAATGACTCTGGGAGAGTGTGCTTTCACTGGGCCTGGTAAGGACATATGAGCCAGGTCATAGGCTAGTCAAATCCAGGGGAAAGCAATTTGAGATGAAAAAGAAGATCCTCTCTTGGAGCCATGGATACTGACAAAGAGTCTCTTAGATGTGTGGAAGGATGATGTTCGAGAGACATAAAAGGTGAAGGCTTGAGGGATATTGAGGGACTGCTAAGGAGGGCTCAAGTTTGTTGGAGGGCAACAGAAAGAAGATAGGCAAGATAACAGGTTGGCATACATGGAAATTGGAGACCTCTTCAGGAAGGAATGAAAGGCCTGGGTAGAGAGTGACCTTATCAGGGTGAAAGTGTAGGAAGAGTGGGTTCATTCAAAGTGTGGCATTTTCACTGCCCTGTGAGCCAAGGTGACTGCAAGGAGAAACATGGTTTTGAGTGATAGTAACCTCTCAGAGGCTGTAGCTAAAGGTACAAAGGGGGGGAAGTGTGAGGTGGTGTAGAATGAGCTGTAGGGACCATTGAGGAGATGCTGGTTGGGATGATTGACAGATATTCAATTGTCCTTTGAGAAACTTCTTGAGAGTGGGGTAAAAAAAAAGACAGCAGCATCTAAGTTTTGTGACTGATGGGCTATAATGGCTGCATGATAGACCTTTAGGTGGATTGAGAGAAGTCCTGCTTGAAGAGGTGGAGAGGGAATGTTAAGACCATGTCCAATGTCACAGGCATGATAGGGAAGTTATTAGTTAGTGCAAACTTGAAGAAGACATTCCATTTATAAGAGTAGAGGAGATTAGTGGATGGTATGCATGCCTATGCCAGGATCTGGGTTACAGAGGGAGAATCCTCCATGCAGTGAGTGGGAGAGTCTGAAGGTCTAGATGAAAGACTTCGCCCTGATTCTGAGTTAGGAGATGTGGCAGTACTGGGAGGTATAGAATGTCTTGTGCTAAAGATCAAAGGGTTGTGAACCATGGATGGCAGGGCCACCAGGGAGCTATCGAGATTTCATCTGACCCATCCTGGAGGAGCTTGACAATGTTCTCTGAAGGCGAAAAATAATCAGTAGACTCAGTGACCAGGTGGTCATAAAGATGAAGCTGTCCAGTGGCCACTTGTGGTTGTGGGTTTGGAGTCTGCTTAGACTGTCCACTAAGACACTGTTTTCTGTAGAGATGTGAACGCTTTTGGGTAGATATGGAGGTTGTAGCAGCACTCCCACAAATGGACAGCAAGGTATAGGACGGACATGAAGAGGGTACTTCCTTGCTTGTTGATAATGTTGGTACCGTGTTTCCCCCAAAATAAGACAGGGTCTTATATTAATTTTTGCTCCAAAAATGCATTAGGGCTTATTTTCAGGGGAGGTTTTATTTTATAGTCATGTCATTTTCTGGTTGCTGCACAATGGTAGAGGGTGGGGTTTCACTTAACTAGGGCTTATTCTTGGGGTAGGGCTTATATTACGAGCATCTTGAAAAATCATACTGGGGACTGTGACTTTTGCAATAGGAAGAGAAGTTATCTGAAGGAGAATATGTGTGAGTATCCACAACATCAGAGTTGGGTGTAGGGAGGTCAGGTGGAGACTTGTGTGGCCATACAGAATCAGAGGCCTCCGTATCAGAGGTGGGGTGAGGCAGAGCCAAAGAGGTGGACAGATCTTCTGGGGAGGAATAGTAATGTAGCTGCTTCAATGTTGGAAGTGGGTAAGATGGAAACATGCCAGTGATTGGATCTGTTGGTACCCTGGATAAGGTCCAGAGGAGGCTGTGTGGGCCACCGCGATGCCTGAGTTGAGATGGTGCCAAGTGGAGCTGGGGTGTCCTCTGTAAGTTGTGATAACTTGTAAGGATGAGGAGCAAACATGGGATACTGTAGAGATGGGCTTTGTAGCTTCGGCATGTATTGGTATGGAACAGTGTGAGCATTTCTCAAACAAGGTTGGTACTGAGGTGGTGACGGTGATACTGAGGAGTCAGAGGGATAGTAGTAGACATAACGATGGTGATGGGACTCTGGATGTTATCGAATATGCAGTGGTTCATCCCAATAAATCCTTGGCTCTGGCTCATAGTAAGTCAAGTGATCAAGGAGAGTGAAACATCTAGGATAATAGTGTCAGACCAAGAGTTGTGCAGGACTGCTGACCATCGCCATGGGTGAGCCACAGAGGACATGATGTCATATAGATACCCATCTAATGTGTGGTGTGCCTTCCTCATCTGCTTACGAGACAGCTGAGGATCAGCCATTTGGAGGCTGATTTAGTGTCATGGCCAGATAGTGAATGTCCCATGGATCTGGGGCTCTTGTGAGCTGACTGCAAAACTTCAGCAACATCAACCAAGGTATTTCCCCATTCACAAATGGCTGAATGGAGGAAACAGTGCTTGGCCAAACAACGGGAGAGGAGCTTCCTCATTCCCTGAGGTATCAAGGTCAAGTCCATGGTCAATGACTGGGAAGGCTTGAGAGAACGTTCCCAGAGGAAGGATCTGAGACTATGTAAATTGCATTTCAGTGCTGGCTTAGGAAAGTTTTTGCAGGCCTGGCACACGGTGGTCTGATGTGCCTCCTCCAGACAAAAAAGGCACTGAGAGTCCCCTTCTGAGAGAGGGACTTTGTTGGGGCAAGAAGCGCACCTCTTGAAGGGGCCTGAAGAAGTCAAAAAATGGTGAGGGAACAAAAAGGGAAGAGGGGCAGTGGAAGGGTAAAATGTAACAGTCTTTGAATCTCTCTCTCTCTTTTTAGAACTCATGAAAGGAAAGAAATGAAGGACGAGAGAATTACGCTAAAGTTAAGAGAAGCGGTGAACAGAGCTCTGCTCATCAAAAGGTGAGACCTCAGCTGTGTCAAAAAAGAAACTGAGGCACTTGCTAGTATGGGCGGAGTGTATGCATCAAGGGGGTGGTCCCAGCGAATGTGTGCTAAAGCTCTGTGCTTTAGCACAGAGAGCCTCTGTGCAGGCATAGGACAAGACCCTATTGTGTGTATTCATAGACACCATGAAGAAGAATACTACCTTCCCTCCTGCTCAGGTTTCTGGGACTACACTGAAGATTTTCAGTGAGGCTGTGAAACAGGTCCATGTCAGAAGCAGAAAGAGACACATATACAGTGGTGCCTCGCACAACGAGTGCCTCACACAACGATGAATTCACACAACGATGCCTTTTTCTGTTAAATTTGCTGCCTCACACAGCGATGTTTCCTATGGGGGATTTTCACACAACGATCTCCCTTTTCGCTCCTGTAAAAGTGTCTTACAATGTTTGGACGCTGTTTTAAATGATTGCAATGGTTAGTACACCTCCTGAAACCTATGCAAACTGATTTTGGTGTTGTTCTGACACTTCGTTAATTTATGATGATTTTTTGTTTTTTCTCCATAGGAAACCATTGGATGGTCTGTCTAATGGTTTCCAATGGAAAAAACAAAAAATCATCATAAATTAACGAAGTGTCAGAACAACACCAAAATCAGTTTGCATAGGTTTCAGGAGGTGTACTAACCATTGCAATCATTTAAAACAGCGTCCAAACATTGTAAGACACTTTTACAGGAGCGAAAAGGAGATCGTTGTGGTCTTACAATGTTTGGATGCTGTTTTAAATGATTGCAATGGTTAGTCCACCTCCTGAAACCTATGCAAACTGATTTTGGTGTTCTTCTGACACTTCGTTAATTTATGATGATTTTTTGTTTTTTCCATTGGAAACCATTAGACAGACCATCCAATGGTTTCCTATGGAGAAAATTCAAAAAATCATCATAAATTAACGAAGTGTCAGAACAACAACAAAATCAGTTTGCATAGGTTTCAGGAGGTGGACTAACCATTGCAATCATTTAAAACAGCGTCCAAACATTGTAAGACACCTTTACAGGAGTGAAAAAGGACTTCGCAAAGGCATTGAAATGTATTGAGTCGGCTTCAATACATTCCAATATAGGAAACATTGTTTCACTCAACGATGTTTCCTATGGGGATTTTCACTGAACGATGGCAATCCGTTCCAATTGGAACGGATTAACCGGTTTTCAATGCATTCCTATGTGAAATGGTGTTTCACAGAACGATGTTTCACACAACGTTGATTTTTTTGGAACCAATTAACATCGTTGTGTGAGGCACCACTGTATAAGAGAGCCATCATACTACTGGCATGTTGACCCTTATCTGTCCAGATTGTTGTCCCGTCTCCTGAAAATGCCTTCTTTGCACCATGATCAGGCTTTTTTAAACAAAGAGGGGAGGGATTATTTACTCTTGTAGATGTTGCTTGAATGCAAATTTCAGTGACTACACAATACATTTGTATAGGTAGGACAGACAGCTCTGCAGTGCCTGGGCCACATGAACCCCACAGGCAAGGGCTTTTGTGGGCCTCCACAAAAAAAAATGTTTTGGGCAAAAACGGGAATTGCACCTTGAAAGGCCCTCAGCAGATGAGAGATTTTATTTGTTGATTTGAAATAAAAGATGTAAATAGTCTCTCTCTTCACCACCACACTGCATTTAAGCTTCTCCACTGATGGCAAGAGAGGGAGCCTTCATGTGGGTTGTCTCTAGACAGGGAAGGCTGAATCTAAGTACATTGAAGAGGATATTACAGTATTTAGGACAGATATTCTGGATGCACTTTCCTTATCCCACTGCACACTGTAGTTATATCTAACCATTAACTGAAGTATGACTAATGTTATTTGAAATTAGATGCACCTTCTTACCACAGGTTTGAAAGATGTTGATAGTTCTGCTTCAAGTTCAAGAATATTCAGCAAAGTGGCAATTGTTTCATCACTTGATGCAGGCCAGTTAATAGTTCTGTTAAAGACAGGGCAGGAAAGAAACAATCTAATAGAGATCATCATCCCAGGAGACAGACCTCTGAAAGCTCAGCCACTTAGCATAAATAGAGCAACAAAAATAATTTTATAGTTTTATAAAAACACTGATTAACCAGTAATGAAAATTTAATATATCCCAGCCAAATTTCAAAACATTATTTTGTACTAATATTTTTACAGTTTCTATCAGAAAACTGAAGATATCAATTTTATATTGAAGATACAGATTATATATTCATCTAAGCAATTCATAAACATGGCTACAAAAATAAGAAGTAGACAAAAGACAATTTTATTCTGCAGAATCTCCAAAACTTTCCTATGCAAGCATAGTCACAGGCTCCATAGTTTACTACCTACTGGGAATTTCCCAAAAAGGAAGCCACTGCTGTGCTTTCTGGGAGTTGTAGTCTCTCTACCCTTACCCTACTCTTATAAAACGTGCCTTCTATAGAACTATAATGCCAGAAGCACCCTGGCAACTTCCTTTTTTTGGGAAAAGTCCCAAAAGGAAGTAGGCAATGGAGCTTGTGAGGTAAGCCAAGCTTCAGATGAGTGAAATGTAAGTGACTTTAGGTGTCTATAGGTGTGGATATGTACGAATGCATCTGAATTTTAGAACTCTCAGCATTCTCTCCAAGTATTTCTTGGAGCTTGAGTCCAAAAAATTCAAATGGAATATCCCTATTCACAGGTTTGCTTTGCGAATGCTAGGTATTTAGAGCCACTCCCTAATTTACAAACTCCTTAACACTATAACAGAGTGCCAAAATATAGTTATAAGTTTTGTTACATGGCTTCAAGTCAGAACCGAGTTACAGCAACCCTAATAGGGCTATCAAGGCAAGTTAGATATTTCAGGAGTGGTGTTACCAGTTCCAAAACGCCTCCCCCATGAGTTTCCATGGTTGAGTAGAGATTCAAATCCAGGCCTCCTAAGTTCTAATTCGTCACTCATGTCACTATACCACACTGGATATCATCATTAAAAAACCAGAAACTATTATTATGATCTAGCACAGGGATCCCTGGTGCCTGTTCGTGGGCTTCCTTGAATTGGGACGTGGACACGGATCTCCACCCCCCCCCTGTTCTAATTAAAAATAAAAGTTAGCTACTTAACAAAGCATAACAATGAAACAAGATCAAACTATGGTTTCTCTGCTGCTTTTCTAATCAACTAAGGCTTAAATAAGCAGGGAACACAGTTTCCTGTATTCAGCTGAAATAGGGAAATATTTCAAAGTAGAAATGGAAGCTTGAAGTCTCCTTGTTTTACACTTGACAGGAGAAGGGAGTATCTCAGCAGTGCACACAGAAGTTTCCAGTTTTAATCTTCTGCTTCTCCAGGCAAGGCCAGCAAAGAATACAGTCTGAAAACTTAGGTATTACATGCCAATCAGAATAACACAATTCTGAGCTAGGTAGACTACCTGTCAGACTCGACAAAAGATAGCTTCCTATGTAAGCATTACAGCTGAATTGTGCTATAATATTAGAATTCTGGTTATATTTAACACATTTAAATCAAATTTAACTGATATTTCTGCTTTGTATAGAAGGCAATGCTCAAGTACATGAGTTGATAAAATAAAACTAATGAGTCAGAAAAAAATATGACTCAAGTGTGCCTCGCCTTTTTTCTTAAACATTTCCAGTATTAGGAATAAGAATAGTTTTTATTAAGAATATATTTGCATTATACTTACTTGTCTACAGTTTTATATACAAACTCAGAAAGATAAGCAGCTACAGAAATCAATTGCTCTCTGATATTCTGTAATTTCTTTTGTTCTTCATGCAGCTCTATAGTGTCTGTTGCAGAGCATATGTTGGCATACTTATTTGAAGAAGGAGGTTTATGTTGGTTTCTATGATCACTGAAGTATTTTCTCTGCTCCTTCAAGTCTCTGACCATCTGTTGCAGTGCCTTGATTCTTCCAGTGTTGCATTTCCACTGTTGGATTTCAAAGTCACACTATTAAAATGCAAAATACAACAAAATATAATATATCTTACACTAATACACGCAGGGGGAAAAAAGGTCCCAAGATGCTGGAACAACTTCTCAGCTTTCCAACACTATGAAATTTGTGGCTGGCAAAATCCAGCAGATAAAAAAGTGTTCCAAACATACTTTTATATGTTTACTAACCAACAATCTTGAGAAAATAATTCCTCAATTCATTCCGATCTCTGCTCCCTTATACACATTCAAGATATGAAATAAAAGACTGAAAACAACAAAAAATAGGATCCTGATAAAGACAGAAGAACTCTGACTTAGCCTTTATCCAGCCTAGTGACATCAAGAGAAAATTTATCTCTTGAATACAATGATCAGTAGAATGCAATGTCCAGGATGAAACAGGCTAGGAAATCCAAATTAGGTATTCAAATTTTGATACAAAAGTGTTTTTGGGGGTAAATAAGTTTGTTGTGTTGTAAGGTGGAAACAAATCCTTGATTGCACAAATTAACCAGAGATCCTGTGAAATTTATTATGCCATATCTGCAGCAACAAAAAAGATGTTAGAAAATCATGTTCCTACCTGACTTTCTTGAGCATCTTGCATTTCATTTAATTTACTAAATGTGTGTTGCTTATGCCTTCCATCTCTTACTGTTTGTTCTGTCCTGTTCTCCTGATCTCTCAGTAATCTGAGGTCCAATTGCAATTGTCCGCATTCCTTTTTCATTTGTGCCTCTTTCTTCCTCTGCATTTCCAAAGCATGTTGAATTTCCTGTTCTTTATTTTGCAGACCCATTGTAACATGCAGCTCTTGATTTTTTTGAGGCTCTTCACTGTACATTTGTATTTCACCCATTTTTTTAGAACCAAGTACCTGTTTCTGTGTCTTCTCAATTGTAGCCAAAAGTTCCCTAGCATGAGACCTTTCTCTATACAACTGGACTTGCAATTCCTGTAATGAATCTTTATGCTTACAAGATGAACATTCATTTATCCTCATGCTCAGTTGTTCTGTTAAAACACGTTCATGATTCAAAGCACTTAAAAGTTCTAAATTACGTTTCTTCTCAAGCTCTATATTCTTCTGCAATTCCAAAAGTTTATTTTGTTCTTGGGACAACAGAGCCTCACAGCGAGAATGCTCAATTTGAAGTTCTTTGCGGAGATTACTGTTTGCTGACTGTTCATGTTCTAAAGCCACAGAAAATTGGTTGTTCTGAATGCATTGTAGTTCCAAGGCAGCTTGCAACTCCTATATAAGAGAAAGAAAACTTACACTTGAGTGTAACATTAATTCCTGCAAATACATTAGCAATAAAATATAGGAGCAGATTTTGATCCTAAAGACTACAGGTTCCTAATTCTAACATTCTGAAACACTGGATTCACTGCAGCATACCTGTAGTAAGGAAAATTGAGGTTATCCTCACCTTGCTACCACTTACAGCTCCCTTCTTGCAAATGACAGCTAAGCTAAGTGAAAAACAGCCATGACAGCTTTCAGTGGGAGAAGGCAAGAAAGCAGGATGTAGAAACTGCAGAGTTCAGCTAAATCATAGAATCATAGAAAAGTGAAGTTGGAAGGGGCCTACAAGGCCATCAACTCCAACTCCCTGCTCAATGCAGGAATACAATCAAAGCATATCTGACATTTATTTATTTATTACATTTATAGCCCACCCATCTAGTCATGTACTCAGACAATTTATAGCCCACCCATCTACTCTGAGCGGCTAACAACGTATCATATAACAATTTAACAAATTAAAATTATAACAATATATTACTAAATAAACAATGATCCAAGATGGGAGAAAAGCACAAGACAAAAATAATTCAAATGGTGGGTGGAAGGAAGGCTTGCTTAAACAGCCAGGTTTTCAATTGGCACTTAAAGATACCCAGCGAAGGGGCCATGCACATCTCAGGAGGGAGGCTATTCCAAAGACGAGGAGCCACTGCCGAGAAGGCCCGGTTTCTTGTTTTTTCTTTCTGGGCCTCCCTCTGCGTTAGGATCCTCAGCCTCACCTCCTGGCTAGATCGGGTGATACGGGTAGATCTAGGTGGGATAAGGCATTCCGTTAGGTAACGAGGCCCTAAATCGTTTAGGGCAGGCTTGTCCAACACGCGGCCCAGGTCAGCTCCTAATGCGGCCCAGTGAAGGCCCTGCACCTCCCACAATGCTGTGCTAGAATGCAAAAAAGAGGAGGCGGGCAGAGCAGGCAGAGCAGCAACTCCTGGAGCCAGTCAGCCTGAGCTGGAAATACGCAGCGAGGGGAAGGCGGAGAGGGAGGAGCTGCCCGCCCACCCGTGGAGTGTGTGTGTGTCGGGCACCAAATCCGCCCCGCAGCTCAGCCAACTCAGCGCCTGGGGGGAAAGTGGGTAGCCAAGCCGCTCAATCCCGTTGCTGCCCAGAGTGAGAGAGGAAGTCAGCCCGGCGGTTCGTCAGGTTTTGGGTTTTCCAGCCGAGTGGGGAGAAAGGCTGGCAAAAGGCTGAGTGTAAGAAGAAACTTTGGAGTTTCAACTTGGGAAGCCAGGCCTCTGTCTCTTGCAGCCCCATCCCTCTGTGCTGCTAGCTTTCCAGCCAGGCTGGGAAGAAAGCAGCAGGGAGAGAAAGGGGAGCAGGAGACAGGAGCCTGGTGGAGAGGGCTTTTGAATTTCCCCAGCTCTATTTGTCAAACCAAATATGGATGCATTGGTGGCTGAGAAACAATGTCAAACATCTCACTAACTTCATTTCCAAATAAATTTAATATGTTAACTATGTTTTCTATGGGTTTTTTGGATGATCAGGTATCGTTACTGTTATTTTATTTTATGTGCGGCCCAAACCAAATTTTCATCTTCTAATGTGGCCCAGGGAAGGTGAAAGGTTGGACACCCCTGGTTTAGGGCTTTATACGTAAGCATTAAGACTTTGAAATCTATGCGGAACCGAACAGGCAGCCAATGCAAGGCGGCCAGAGTGGGAGTAATATGCTGGTATTTCCTTACCCCACTGAGAAGTCTGGCCGCCGCATTCTGCACCATCTGGAGCAGGGGTCTCAAACTCAATTTACCCAGGGGCCGCTAGAGGCACAGTCTGGGTGAGGCTGGGCCACATCAGATTTTCCGCCAAGCAGAGCAAGAGCCCGAGGAAGCTGCCCAGGAATTTCCTTAGGCTGGCTGGGGCTCTGAGGAAGAGGAGGAGCGTGTGAGCCCTTGTGGCCGGCCATGACCCCCTCCAGTTCCTTCTTCACTACCACCACCAGCAGCAGCAGCAGCAGCAGGACGAAGAAGCAGAGAAGGGAGGGAGCACTGGCTACCGCCTAGCCCGGGACGGGGAGGAGGGCACAACATAATTTTTTTAAAACCCTCACAGAATCGCCTTGCCAAAGGAGAAAAGCCCCCATCGGTACCCATGAAATTAAACAGAATGGGGCGGGGGGGCCACCGGTGCGCGCACGCACACAAAAACACACACACACACGGAGATCTGGCAACCTTCCTCTGAGGGCCCCCTCAAAAAAAAGGCGCATTCAGCAGCAGCAACTACCCCCACCACAACAGAGGAGCAAGTTTTGCGAGGCGAGCCCAGGCAGTCTCCAGAGCCAAGGTGGCTGAAGCAGGATGAAGAGGAGGAGGAGGAGGAAGCACCACTGGGTGCTGAGGTGGCCGCTGGCCGGGCTGGTGCTGGGGGTGCCAAGAGAGAGAGCCAGAGAAGGCTTAAGGTTTTTAAACCTTCCCTGCACAAGGCAC